CCAGCCCAGGGCCTGCTTTCCATACATTCACACAGGCGGCCCAGGGCCTGGATTCTCTCAACCAACTGGCGCTGCGCAACTGCCTAAATTTCCTTCGTTGCGCAGTGGCCGAAATAAGGCCCTGAGGGCCTCGTCGAGCCTGCCTTCACTTAGGGCGGCCGACGGGCTCACTTAAGGGGGCCGAATGGGGCTCATAGAGGCAGTAGCCTCGCATTATGTTTGTGCTTGGAAAACATGAACGTGGTCATGATCGTGGCCACACTCCTGCTTTGTTGTTGTAGCCTGAACATAGCATTCATGTGGACTCGCCTTCCATCACTGAAACTAGGAAAACTTTCGCAGGCTAGAGTGGCGTGGCGGTCGGATTTCGACAACCACAACACATGTTCGTAAGGGATAGATGGTCTGTGTGCATGTGGGACTCGGGCTCCAAAAGGCAGTAAATGAAGAGGAGGTGGAGGAAGAAGAAATTAGCAATAGAGGAGGTTTGCAACATCTAGGAATGGCTGCACACTCACATCAGTGGCCAATTGATGGTCCGATGATTCCTCTTCCCCCGATGACATCCAAAGGGAAGCCAGGAGCACTGGCAAGACAAGGGCGTTCATGAGATGCTCCGTCATAATCGAGCTCAATCCCGGTATTCCTGCACATGCAATGTCATTACAATAGAACAACAAGTCACCTGTCTCCGCAATTTCGCCCTCCAGCCTTCCAATAGCAGTCTTGGTCCCGCCTTGCCTGCCAGCCACACATAGGTAATTGTTCCATCAGAGGGGCACCCAAACACAGCTTTGATGCATGCAGACAAGACAACACACCATACTTTCCGATTCCATTCCTACAGCCCAATCACTCTCAGAGTGTTAGCACTGTTTCCTGCAATTCATCAGGGTAAAAAAACATCGGACTTTTGTCTTTATTGAATGAAATTGAAAATGGCTGCCGCCTATCAAGGGATGAATACCAACATTGCCCCTGCAAGAATCTCGTACCCCCAGAAGGTGATGGCATTCTGGAACATTCTTTGCCCCTTCCACATTTAACAGGACGACAGCCAAGCATATGCTCTGTAGCAGAACATAGAGATGTCAAGGCACTTTCTAACAGGGGGCTACCTTGGAATTCCTGCCTTCGGAACTGACAATCACGTATTCCTCCGTCTTATCCTGTGGATCGTCAGATCGATGGACGCATAGTTACCTGATAACGGCATCCGAATAAGGAACACAGTAGTGCGTACCATGCAAACCATGGCTGTTAGGCTGCAACGCATCAAAATGGAGATGCCAACAAACTCTTATATGAAACTCGTATTTTCACATCATTGTGTTCATCCTATACAGCTTCTCATGCACGGCACCGAAAATCATGGATAGAAATTTGGAGTCATCGTTAAAAGGTTAATAAAATCCAGATCAGGTAACCATCGCTTGTTCGGAAAAAACAATACCAGCAAATGCCACAAGCAGTTATGGCATTAGAAGGTGCTGTCCAACTGGGAGGAAGTATATCCGTAGATGTAATAGTACGGAAAGCAGTTTAGGCTGAAAATCCATGCCATCTTGCTGACTCCATGGCCTATATTGGTAGATGTAATAGCTATGTAGCACGACATACCTGGCCGGATAATCTGGTCGGATTATCTGGCCGGATTATCGGGGGCGAGGATTATCCGGAAATCCGGATGATTAAAAAAATGGCCAAAAAAAAAACAAAAACAAAAAAACAAAAAAAAAAGTAATATTGCGCATGCAAAATACACTAGAACTATGTTCCTATTTCATAAAAAGCTTGATAAATCATGGAAGGGTTGAAAGGGGGTAAGACTCCATGGCCTCTTGGCTGAAAATCCACGCCATCTTGCTGACGGGTAAGTATATTGGTAGATGTAATACTATTACAGTAATAGTATGGAAAGCAGTCTTGGACTCTTGGCTGAAAATCCACGCCATCTTGCTGACTCCATGGCCTCTAAACTAGGCTTCATTTCCATGCGCACGGGTACCCCCGGCACGCACGGATCACTGCACGGCCGCACGGCCTTTCGCGTCCCCCGTACGGGCCCCGTGCGGCCCCAGCGTGGTGTGCTTGGGGGGCAGTTCTGGGGACAGCGGCCCGCCGGCGGGCCCGGTTTCAGCACTGTGCAAATTTTTTAAGGGCCCCCCGCACGTCGAAATTTTTTTTCGGCGCGCGGGGGGGGGCTTAAAAATTTCAATCTTGGACTAGAGATCTCAGCCGTAGATCATCGAAGATCTACGGCGGAGATTCCTCAAGGATAACCCCAGGACCCGCACGTTTTCACGGGAAGCGAATTCCAGTTCGAACTTCGAACTGTGTGGGCGCGAGGACGGGGGTCCCCCGTGTTGCCACTCCGCCCGCCATTTCGTCGTCGTCGCCGTCGTCCGTCAGGTCGCGCCATCGCCCGCCTCCCACGGCCGCAGCTGCTCCCCGACGCATCTTCCCGGGGCTATCGCCGCTGTTCTTCGCTGCCCCCCCCCCGGCCTTCGCTGCTCCTTCGTCGCTCCCCAGGGCCCAGGGCCATCGCCGCTGCCCAGGGCTGTCGCTGGTCCCATGAAGTGAAGGTAAGTGGTCTTCTTCTTCTTCTTCTTCTTCTTCTTCGTTGAACTTCTGGACCTGTTCCACCCGCTCCTCCTCCTCCTCCTCCTCCTCCTTATCCTCCTCCTCCTCCTCCGTTTTCTTCTTCTTCTTCTTCTTCTTCTTCTTCGTTCAACTTCTCCGTGTGCTCGTCGCCATCCACTTCTCTCCCGCCACTTCGTTCGTTCTCTTCCGCCATCGTCNCCCGCCACTTCGTTCGTTCTCTTCCGCCATCGTCCACCTCCCTCCCGCCACTCCGTTCCCGCTCTTCCGCCATCTCCCGCCACCTCCCTCTACCCCTCCTGCTACCTCCCATTACCCCTCCCGCTATCTCCCACATCCCTCCCACCATCCTCTGCCTCCCTCCCGCCAATCCTCCGCCTCCTTCCCGCCACCTCCTACCTCCCCTCCCACCATCTCCCACTTCCCTCTCTCCTTCTCCCACCTCCCTCCCGCCATCTCCCACCTTCCTCCGTTTCGCCATCTCCCACTTAACTCCGGCCACCGCCTACCTCAATCCGGCCATCTCCCACCTCCCCGCCTGCAACCTCCCACCTCTCTTTCACCACCTCCAGCCTCCCGCCCGCTATCTCCCACCCTCCTCTCGCCATCTTCAACCTCCAAGTAGCAGTGTTGCGAACATGTGTGGAAAAGGCGGATTCGGGCACATCTCTGCATGCACAACAGCCCCCCATCACCTTTTTTTTTTTTTTTTTTTTTTTTAATAAAAAATAGCTCGCACGGGTGACCCGTGCAGCCTGCACGGGTGGACGGCCGTGCCTGCCCGGCCGGGCGGCTCAGGAAGCCTAGCCTCTAAACCAATTCCAAACCTTTTTCTATAGGTTGGCATGTCACATAGTCAGCCTAGTGATAAGCTACAACATGCATCCCCAGACTTGACTCCCTTGGATGCAGAACCGTTCTACAGTCAGGAGTGTTCCATCTTCAGTCTACGATGACGCACAACAAGGGGGAGCTGGGCGTGGGATTCACAGTTCAGGGCTCCTGTAGCATTGGGATGTGTGTCTTGGGACTCTAATCAAGCACATGAACTTCTGATATAAAAGCGACGGCACCTCAACGATTGGAGAGGAGGGAGGGAGGGGGGCAGGGGAGGTGCACAGGACGAGGGGAGGGGAATTCAAAATGTCTACTTGAATTTTCCATCAGCATCCAATAAGATCCTTATGTCTACTCAAAGTCTGCTTGAACAATGCAGGATTTTTAGCACAAAACTGTTTCATACTATGGTATAGGCTACCAGAATTGGCCTGGGGCCCAATTGCCCTGCCGGGTGGCCGCACAGCTGTATGTGTGTACCATTCAGCCAGATGTGCTAGTAACACAAACAATTTTTTGGCTGAGGGTCACTTCGGAATGACATATTGGATCGGAGAACGAAAAAGAAAAGGGTACACCTCTTTAAAGTTCCCAGTTTATACCCCCCCCCCCCCCCCAAAAAAAAAAAAAAAACATCGGAAAACGAAAAAGAGCCTGGATTCGGGCTTTGTCTCGGTGGGCACAAAAATGCCCCACGAGGCTCGAGCGATCGAAAATAAAAACAAAAGACGCGTCCTTTGAGCTGCCCATGGTGGCCTGGGCAGGAGCCTAAGAAACTAGTTCCTTGTTGGAGACAGTGCTCGCATTGCACCACTATGAGCAAAACAAAAACAGCCTATCCTTCCTACTTTACTGTCCTTAATTTCCCTCCACAATAACAACGTCGTCTGGATTCTGAATGTCAAAATCACTTTTTAGAAGTTTTTCAACTTCAACTTTTTCTGACTTTTTCAGACTTCTTGCAATGCATCCCATATGCTCACCTCTCTGCATCACCTATTAGACTGTCCAAGGTGAAACTGCGCTGCCGAACAAAACTGACCAAGTCAGAAAAGTACTCCACTGCATTCTCGCTGAGAATGAATTCACGAACAGACTCTTCATTTACTGCACACAAGCGAAAACCAGGAAATCAATTACGTTTCTCAGTTACTCAGTTCAGCACTCAAAACACCCAATCGCAATTCCAAGACTAATTAAATCAAGTGGTCATGTCCTGGTCACACCGCACACACGACCAACCACAGTCAGTCAATTTATGTGTGTTTTGCAACATCACAGAGCTGGGACGAGGGGACAAAGGGCCATCAGTGGGATTTCCTGGAATGGACTGTGAGGCGGAACCCTCGCCGCATGTCCTGGTCACACCACACACACAACCAACCACAGTTACTCAATCTGTGTGTGCTTTGCAACGTCGCAGAGGGAGGACAGGGACGGGGGGGCACAGGGCCATCCGTGGGATTTTCTGGCACGGACTGCGGTACAGAGCCCTCACTGCAATCTCCTCCATCCTTCTTTTCCTGCCAAATATTCATCATACCCGTGTATGTTCTTCAACTGTTTTTCATATCAACATTATGCAACTTTCGGCATGTTATGAAGCCGCACTAAGTAACCATTATCCTAGTCCTATCCGCCACTATGGCAGCCAGACATTTCAAACATGCTATTAGATCATACAACTGCATCACTTTAACTTACTCTCTGGAACCTCATTTTCGCCCAACGCTGGCCTTCCAAACCAGTGCAGGATAGGGCCTACCATCTTCACCCGAATAGAACGCCCGGTCACGATCGCTGTATTTGTGGGAACTTTCAGCCCGGATGCCCAATAACGACCGGGCTTTCTATTCGGGCGAAGAAAGTAGCCAGCAGCCACCAGCATAGCCTGGCCCGTAAAGCAAGCTGACCCGCAGCTCCCATGTCAGAAGGTAAAGTCCTGGAAGGGGACACCCCAAGCTGGCATCCATTAATTTGACAAATTGAGATATATTCAACACGGTCAAGCTTTTGCTTTGCATTTTTTCAACTCTTTCGATGCATTTCTGCGTTCTGTGGCTGAAAAGGCATGGGGAAGACATCTACACAAACACCCAAAGCCCCGGTGCAATACCTCCCCCCCCCCAACAGAAAAAATCGCTTGAGAAGCTCAGGACAGTCTGAGAGTTCATTTAACGTGATAGCACATCCTACGTTTTATATTTTTTTTAACTTTTTGACGCTTTCTGCGTTCCGTGGTTGAAGAGGCAGAAGAAGACATCTGGCCAAACACCCAAGAGCTCCTATGTACCCAAAAAAAAAAGGAAAACAGAAAGAAAAAAAACAAAAGCACCACACAAACATGTGCAGATACTATGCATCTGTCCGTGCTTAGAGGACCCCTAGGTCGGACCACACATGGCGCACAGTACATGGCTAGGTCGGACCACACATGGCGTACACTGATGCGCACACATCAGGAGCTTGTGCATGGCACATCACACACTGCACCGCATCGCGCACCACCCTGGTGCATCACAAGTAGGATTAAATGTCTCATAGAGCCATTGTTCAGCAATTCACCTCAAGGTTACAAAGCACAACCAGGCTTCCTATAGCTCTCACCAGCATACACCTATGTCGTTTGCTCAACGTCTGGAATGGAGCATGCATACTTCCTGTCTAGATTTTGTATGTCTTGACAGTCTTGGTATATGTTCAACAGGGTCCCTCTTCTCTGTTTTCAGCCCTCTGTGCCGTACGAGTCTCTGAACCCTACTCTCACATTGTTGCAGAACCAAGACACAAGGGGTACAGTGACACTGGGAGAGTAGGGCACATGAAGCCTGCAAGAGAAACTTAGCACGTCTGTTCAACAGTCAAACCTAATTAAGGTTGGATCAGACTCAGAGATGTCATCTCTCAAACAGGCCAGTTTTATTATCCTTTTTTGTTTAATCCGCTTTTTTTAATCCCCTTTTTTTCTTCTTTTTTAAATGAAAATTTTTGACATTTCTTGACTTATGTGTGTCATCCTTATAGTAGGCTTATACCATAAGACAGTGTTAAACTACAAACGCCAGGCTGGGAGATTTGTAGAGACAGGATGGTATTCGTGGGTCAGTTGAAATTTCTCAGAATTACTGATTTGGAGACACTCATAAGCTAAACTGGCTGATGCTGCCAGGATAACTCCCAGGTTGAATTGTGAGGTCCCCCGCCTCAACTATCTTTGTTTGCAATAAAGTGAACCATTAAAAAAAAAAAAAAAAGCTACAAACGCCAGAGCCGCAGCAAGTGTGAAGCAGATGGAAAGCAGTCTGTAAGCCATAGATGAGGACCAAAGGCACTAAGAAGCGCGCACACCATTGTAAATGTTGAGGGTCAGGGTTCGAACTGCGATTCGAACCATGCTTTCTTCGTGGTGAAAGAATCGGATTGCCTCTGTATACAAAGGAAACGCCAATGTTCCATCCTGCATCACCATCACAATGCATCACCGTTGTTATTACCATCACTATCGTTGAAATTACCCGCCTTCCCCATGCCGCAGAGTGGCTGCGGCGGGTTTACTTGTTTTTCAACAAAAAAGAAGTATTAGATTGCCACTGATCACAGTAAGGACTTCAAATTGCCCCAGTCGTAATGTACGTAGACATAATGGCAGGTAGATGCAGGTGCATGGTTGCTCACAGTCTATGCCACCATCCAGCTGGACTCTGACAGTGACAGTCTTGGAATCTTTAGCCCTCGGACAGAACGTACCTTGTCATCATTGCAGTTACGTGCACAATCTGTTTGCAGTCAATGGCACCACCCAAGTTCATTCTGACAGTGCCAATCTTCAAATCTCCAGCCCAGTAGTGAGTGTGCTTTTCTACTCTTTTCCGAATGCTTGAAACTGAAAACAAGATTGGTTGTAACTTGTAATATCACGCGGTTGCAATTTGGACATCCATACGGCAATCTAGACTTATCCGGATTAAGTTGTTGGGATATCAGGCATCAAAAAGTAATAAAAGTTATTAAAAGGTTATAAAAAGTAATAAAAGTTATTAAAAGGTTATGAAAAGTAACTGCAATGTGGGAGGAAATTGGTGTGCAGCATTCCAATGCAAGATACTTCTCGATGAGGATAATCTTGGAATTCATTACCTAAGTCGAGAAGGAAAAAATAAAAAAAGAAGCGACATTGTTGGCTTGGAGGGTAGAGGGATAATGCACCCTTGCCGGATCAGGTTTGAAGTCCAGATTCCGTCCGGTCCTGGACCAAATCATGTCTCAGCGAGCCACCGCTGTCCGGGTCTGCAGCACCCACAGTTCGTTTTTCTTTTAACAATAGCCATTGCAATCTCCCATTGTAATATTTATGCCCTAGGCCATTACGACATTTGGCAAGTCACATCCCCCATCTTCAAACTTGTAACCAAATTTTCAGCAGAGAGAAAAAGGAGAGCGAATATATTGATTTGGGGGGGAGGGAAGCCGCCCCTTTGCAGGATCAGATACTGAACGTGCAACTGCTTTCTGGAATAATGTCCAGGCCTGGATCCAGATAATGTCTGGACAAACCACAGCTGTCCAGGTCTGCAGAAACCATCGTGTGTTTAAGCCACCAGTACCTACCGGTTGTTAAGGCCCGTGGCTCAGGCTACCGGTAGCCCGGTTATTCCCGAGCCTCAGACTTTATTGCCGAGCCTCGGACAACCGGTAGGACACAACGAAAAAAATAAAAAAGAAAAAAAAACATACAACATTCTGCAAAAAAAAACAAAACAAAACAAAACGAAATCAGACCTTTCCAACGAGAATGAATCTTCCTCGATAAAGAGGAAGATTCATTCTCGTGAGAGAAAGAGAGAGAGAGGGCGTCAGCCAGTGTCTTCAATGTCTCTCTCTCTCTCTCTCTCTCTCTCTCTCTCTCTCTCTCTCTCTNCTCTCTCTCTCTCTCCCTCCCTCCCTCTCTCTCTCGCTCTCTCTCGTTCTTCCCCCCCTTTCCTCCCCCTGCCACGCCTGTTTGTTTTAGGTTGTTACTTTTCAATTTCGTCGTCTTTTTTTTTTTTTTTTTTTCGGGGCCCGTATTTGGGGGACTACTGGTCGCACGCCGGTGGGTACCCTGCACAACGCGGCGCGTTAACGGCCGCGTCGAATTCTTCAAGCAGGGAGAGGTACTGGTGGTTAACAGTCCCCATGCCAATCTGCTATAGCAATAGTTATGTCCTAGGCAACATAATGACATTTGGCACACGCCCCCACAAAAAACACACCGTTGCAATGGGGCGACCAGCCGCACGACAGAGTCAACAAGACCTCAACCAGCACTACAACATACACAACACCAATGCTTCATGTCTTGTGACAACACATCGCAGCAATGTCAAACATAGCAGCACAACTGGCACAAACAACAAACTAGCCAATAGCACGACTGGCCCGAATGACAGACTAAGCAATAGCACGAACAATGCTCATATATAGGACGGGAAATTACATGCACTATCCAATCGTGACAAACAACTGCAATGTCAAACATAGCAACACAACTGGCAGAAACAACAAACTAACCAATAGCACAACTGGCGCAAATGACAGACTAAGCAATAGCACAAACAATGCTCATATGGGACGGGAAATTGCATGCACTATCCAATCGTGACAAACGACAGTCCACAGCATAGAGCACGTGGAAACACCTTTTCTGGCATAGTTGCGAAGCGGTCTAGGGTTTAGAGAAGTCAGGACCTAGAAACTACCGTCTTCACCTGAATAGAACACCTGGTCATTATAGCTGTACTTTCAGACTGCATACAGCGATAATGACCAGGCGTTCTATTCGAGTGAAGATGGTAGTAGACAAAAATATCGAAGGATGTGAGGGTGAGAGAGACGAAGATTGCAAAGGGTGGGGATTGTGGGAAACAAAAAAAAGCAATAGCAAGATCGGTGGGCAGAGAATTTGCACATCCCCCGTGAGTGGTGGAGTACAAAAGAATGAGATGAACATCTTACGGAGCTAAGGGGCTCAAGGTGTTTGGGACAAACGGTTAGCAAAGGTAAACAAGTGGTTGCAGACTTACAGTGGGTGGTAGGAATGGCTGGAAACTAATTGGGTCACGGGCACAGCGAAGAAGTGTGTGCATTGCGGAGCAGATTGTCTTTTACGGGACACAACAGGGAAGACTGGAGATTTTTGGAGAATCAGGAAGTGGACATGTGTGTGGCCCAATCCTCCTACCATTGCCGTTCATTCTATTCGGGGGAAGAAAGTAGGCAACTGGGTATTGCATGGGTTCTGCAGCTTCTCGTGCTGACGGGATAGCCAGCAAATCATCCTGTATGTTCTCTACTATACCTTTTTCCTTCTGTAAAGACTTGTGCTCGCAGTGATAAGCAATCACACTAAAGCCCCCTCGGCATAGATGGGCCAAGTGAGCACAATATGTCAAAGAAAAAGCTCACAGGATAAAAGAAGTCCACCCCTCAACTAAATTTCAAACACAATGTACTGTCCATCCAATTGTTACGAAACATTGTTCCACAGCATGCAGCATTTAGCCAGACAAACAAATTGGAGAATCGAGACCTTATACTCACATCTTTCTGAAAGATGAAAAATTTCACTCTAGTCGAGTTCAACCTCATGCTAATGGTCCTGCTTGTCATACACCACGAGCCCGGCAACAGTATTAGACAACCCAACACTCTCTCTCTCTCTGTGTGTGTGTGTGTGTGTGTGTGTGTGTGTGTGTGTGTGTGTGTGTGTGTGTGTGTGTGTGTGTGTTATATGCAAAGATCACCTACTGTCAACACCAAATCCGCACAGGGTTAAGAGAGCGCAAGGCTGGCCACGTATGTGAGGTTAATTTGATGTGCGTGTTTGGATGGGTGAGTGGCTGGGTTTGTGTGGTCGAGTGGGTACTGTACAAAACGCGGCAGAATGACCCGCTTCCCCCTAAACACATGGTGTGTACATTATAAAGTAAGATACACACATTCACCACCGTATTTCTCTTTCCATCCACATATATTCATTTCCACCAGGTTAAAATAAACTGTAGTAAACATTTTGAAAAAAGAGGCTGAGACACCAAAGCTAACACAACATGACTTGCCAATCTGAAACCAAGGAATCTAAGCAATAGATTAAAAATGACAAAATGTCACAACAGATTATTTACAAAGATGCCAAAAAAAAAAAAACTGTTGCTTAAAAGCAACTACTCGATGCGTTTTCGTTGTATCGTGGGACATTTGGCAAAGTTTGACAGAGTTCTTAGGACAGAAGTGCACACAGCAGCAGAGAAAATGCGTTTCTGCAGCACAGAACGGTACTCAGATGAAGTTCAGGGAATTCTGAATCCATCTGTCCAGTGAAATCAGACAGATCATTTTTCCAGTGTGGCAGCTCGGCTTCCTACTGTCTTTCCCTGAGCACAACACATGCAATCAGACTCGTTCTCAAACACATTTTTCATGCATGTAAACAGCAACGCAGCATACTGGCGACATGCGCCCACTCAAAACTCAGAGATATGGCTTTCAGATACGAGTTCACTCTCAATTGGCTATGGCGACTTCAGCGCCCAAACATCTCACTGTTCACATACACTGGATCACCCTGGATATCCCACACGCATCACTCTAACACTCGAGC